TCTATGCTTCCACAAACTACCTATGCTTCCACAAACTGCCTATGCTTCCAAAATATGCCTATGCTTCCAAAAACTGCCTATGCTTCCAAAATATGGCTATGCTTCCAAAATATGCCTATGCTTCCACAAACTGCCTATGCTTCCAAAAACTGCCTATGCTTCCAAAATATGCCTATGCTTCCAAAAACTGCCTATGCTTCCAAAATATGGCCATGCTTCCAAAATATGCCTATGTTTCCACAAACTGCCTATGCTTCCAAAAACTGCCTATGCTTCCAAAATATGCCTATGCTTCCACAAACTGCCTATGCTTCCAAAATATGCCTATGCTTCCAAAAACAGCCTATGCTTCCACAAACTGCCTATGCTTGCAAAATATGCCTATGCTTCCAAAAACTGCCTATGCTTGTTCAGAATCTGTAGTTGTCCATAATCCGGAAGGTGGAATTGTCCAGAATCTGGAAGTTGCCCCAAGCCTCACCTCATGGTAAGTGAGAATGTGGAAGGATTCCAAATTCTGCATTTGCAAAATTTGGAATTATCCAGAATATGGAATTGTCCAGAATTTGGATTTGTCCATAATCCAGAAGGTGGAATTGTCCAGAATCTGGAAGTTGCCCCAAGCCTAACCTCATGGTAAGCGAGAATGTGGAAGGATTCCAAATTCTGCATTTACAAAATTTGGAATTATCCAGAATATGGAATTGTCCAGAATTTGGGTTTGTCCATAATCCGGAAGGTGGAATTGTCCAGAATCTGGAAGTTGCCCCAAGCCTAACCCCATGGTAAGCGAGAATGTGGAAGCACTCCATCGTCTTCCTTCCTTCCATCTGCATCCATTCTATCCTTTTCCTTTCCTACTCCTTTTTCTTCTCCCTTTACCCCTTCTACCACACATACAAACTCTCATCTACTGGATAATGCCTTACTTTGTACCCCCTCTTCTCCATCCCTTCACCTGTGTGTGCTTCAACTTTTTACTCTCTCCCCCTCCCCTCCCTCCCCCCCTCACGACCACTCCACCATCCCTTCTCCGGACCTAGAAATTGATTATTCTTTGAAAAATACCACCTCCCACTATCCATCTAGTTTTTTTTTTTTCACCCCTTAACCTAATCCCTTTTCCTAAATTTAACCCTCACCCCCCCTTTTTATTATTATACCCTAACCCCCTAACCCCATTTTTACCCTAATCTCTGGCATTGGTGCCTCAACATAAAATTAAATAAAAAATAAATAACAAAATAATAGAAAAAAGAAAAACATATAAAAATAGATAAAATAATAAAAAAATAAATAAATACAATAAATACTTTATACTTTCCACTTTTGGAAAGCTTTTCTAGTTCATATTAGTTCAAAAATTTCATTTTTATTCCTTCCCACTTTGGGAAGCGTTTTCTGTTTACGTTTTAAATACAAATATAGTTTCCTCTTACCCCCTTTTGGGGAAGTCATTTTTTGTTTCGTTTTTGAAAAACGATATATATATATATATATATATATATATATATATATATACCAGTGCTGTCAAAGTTAACGCGTTAATTTTGGCGATTAAGTTTAAACTTTTAACACATTAAAAAAAATTAACGCAATTAACGTGGTTTGTTTACTTCCGGTGACGGCTGACCCATAACCTTTGGTCACATGCGCGGGCAAACCTGGCAAATGGCGGAAAGATGGCTACGGAGGGACCTTTACAGGGAAAGTTTTCTTTTAAAAAGTTGCCCGACGGCTCGTTGGACAAAACCAAGGCAATTTGCACAGTTTGCAAAGCCGAATTTAGTTACCACAGAAGTAACTCGTCTTTAACGTATCACCTCAAAGCAAAACACCCTGCTGAAATTACCTCCAGGGGACCCCGCCAGTCTACACTACAGGAGTGTGGCACTCGTGGGCGAATAACGAAACCCGTAAGTGAAAAGTTAACCAATTCCTTGGTTATTTGGATAGTTAAAAACTGCCGCCCAGTTAGCATAGAGGATAGTAGAGGATGATGGACTGAGAAAAGTAATTCGTGTTGCATGGGGAGATACCTCTTATAATTTACCCTTGAGAGGAACCATCCTGTCAAGAATACACACATTGTATTTGGATGAGAGGGAACAGCGGACGAACATGCTTGAGCAAGCAAAGCACATCGCTCTCACAGGTGATCATTGGACTTCCGTCAATAACGATAATTATTTGGGCGTCACAGCGCATTTTATTGATCAAAACTGGACTCTGCAGTCGTTTGCACTTACTGTGAGTAAAACTGAGGAGCGACATTATGCCGAGGCATGTGCTAACCATTTTCTGGATGTTGCAAACGAATGGGAAATCAAGGAAAAGTTGACCACACTCGGCACTGACAGCGCTCGTAACATGGTTGCTGCTGTGAGGCTACTTCGATTTGAACATCTGCCTTGCATGGCCCACTGTCTGCAAAGAACGGTCACAGTCTCACTTAAAGACAGCGGATTTGAAAGTGTTCTGGCCAAATGTCGCAAGATTGTCGGGCACTTTAAGCATAGTCCATCTAACGCTCAGGAATTAAGCCAACAGCAAGTTGCACACGGACTTAAGCAAGAATCACTTGCTCAGGACGTTGCAACAAGATGGAATTCTACGCTGGAGATGGTAAAGAGGATCCAGAGAAACAAATCTCCACTGATCACTACCCTGGCGCAGCAAAAGAGCAAGGTTGCCATGTTGACTGACCAGGAGCTTGCCAAACTACAACAGCTGGAGGAACTACTTGAACCTTGCAGGTAAGATATTTATGTCTTGTTTATCCTCCCTCTCTTTCTTTCTCCCTTTCACCTGTGTGTACCGTTTTCTCTCTCTGTCACGTGTGTGCTCTCTCTCTCTCTCTCTCTAACCCCCCCCCCCCTCCATCTTCTGTGTGTGTATGATGTTTTTTCTCTCCCCTATCTTTCACCTGTGTGTATGTGTGTGTGTGTGTGTGTGTGTGTACACTGATTTACTGAAATGTTTAACACCTTGTACTTTCCATTGCAGATATGTGACTGAACTGCTAGGGGGAGAGCAGTATGTCTCCTGTTCAGTGGTCTTGCCAGCCTTACACCACTTGTTCAGAGTTATGGGGCCCTCAGTCGATGATCCAGTTTATGTTCTGAGGTTCAAGACGGCCTTTACCACAGATCTAGCTCAACGGAAGGATAGCACCAACCTCAAATGGCTGAAGATGGCTACTGCCTTTGACCCTAGGTTTAAAGACCTTAAGTGCCTTCCAAAAGATGAAAGGAGTGAGGTGTGGGCTTCAATGCATGACCTGATGATGAGAGAGACATGTGCACAACAACCACTTGCTGAGACAACAGAGGAGCCGTCACCAAAGAAGAGGAGGACGTCCATCTTGCTGGGTTCTTCAGATTCAGATACAGACGAGTATCTTCTTTTTTGTATTTGCACTGTGCATATGTGCAAACCATTAAAATGTTTTTTGAATTTAAATATACCTTCTCTGTGTTTATTCTACATTAATTTGATGATTTACAAAAATAAATATATTATAAGCTTCAGTCTTAAGTAGAAAAATGCAATTAATGTATTGATAGATTAATCGCGATTAGTTACAGAAATTTGAGTGATTAATTAGTTAATTTTTTTTAATCGATTGACAGCCCTAATATATACACACACAGGACGAACAACATGGAGGATGGGTGGACGGTGGTGCAGCGTGGCAGGAGAGGCCAGCGCACCCGCCAACCCCAAAGGGACTGGGATGGCCGGAGGTCCTGGGCAGGGAAGGACCGGGCATGCACCTTCTCCTTGGGGAGGGGGATCTTCCCCTATCCTAACCCTTCCACCCTTATCCTCCACTCGACCCCCCTCCTAAACCTAACCTCTCTTCACTTTCATTTCCTAAACCTAACCTTCCCTCTACCCCTCAACCCAACCATCCCTCTCTTTCCAGCCTTATCCCTCCACTCGACCCCCCTCCTAAACCTAACCTCTCTTCACTTTCATTTCCTAAACCTAACCTTCCCTCTACCCCTCAACCAACCATCCCTCTCTTTCCAGCCTTATCCCTCCACTCGACCCCCGTCCTAAACCTAACCTCTCTTCACTTTCATTTCCTAAACCTAACCTTCCCTCTACCCCTCAACCCAACCATCCTCCACCTATTATCCCTAACCCGAACCCCAACCCTTACCCTAACCCAAGTCTTCATCCCGCTCCCACCCTCCTTTACTCTCTGCTAACTCCCTACCTATCCTTCATCCTAAACATAACCATCCCTTCCCCTCACTCCTAAACCCAACCCTATCCCTCTGGCTGGCTCGGAATCCTCCTCACACAACCATACACACACTGCCACACAACTCATTCCCCTGGTTTCCACTTTCTCCCATCGCACCATAACTCTCCATCACATCATCAAGAACAACTTCACAACACTCCAGACTCAACACCCGGCTTTCCAACACCACAAACTGATTTCAGCATACAGGAAACACAAGAATCTCAAATCCATTCTCATTCACTCCAAATTTACTGACCATAGACCAACACCTACATTACAATACAGCCACCACTACAGAAATAGAAAGTTTATCCAGAATTCACATACCAAGGCAGCTTTTCCCACCACCGGCCAATTCTCCATCTCCACCACAAATGTAGTCTTTATCATTACCTGTACACTTTGCCAGATACATTACATCGGAGAAACCAAACACTCCATACACACCAGACTCTCACAGCACCTATACAACTTTGGGGAAGGTCGACTACCAACCCCACTGGTTCAGCACTTCCAGACACACTCTCCATCTCATCTCATCATCACCGGACTTGAGCACAACAGCAACTGGACCATCGGACAAAGAAAAGAGCTGAAAAAATCTGGATCCACCAACTTGGTACCATAACACCCACTGGACTGAATGATAACTGACTCTACACCAATTTATTTATTTATTTTTTTGTTATCTTTTCTTTTCCCCTTAGCCTCTTTCACAACAATCATCTCAGCCTCCCCATGTGATCGAATAGCGTAATGATTAACGTCTCTGTCTGCCACCCAGCAGACCTGGGTTCGATCCCCACCCTTTACCCCGCTCCGTTAACCTCTCCTTTCATTCTCCTTCTCCCCACATCATTCAGGTCTTTCTCTCTCCCTTCCTTTTCTCTTAAGTGACCATAGCCCAATGGTGTTTACCCCCGCCTGCCACCCAGCAGGCCAGGGTTCGATCCCCATTCCCGCTCCGATTTTTTTACTCATATTTTATTTATTTATTATATTTTTCTTTTTTCTTTTCTCGTCCCTTTCCTCAGTCTCCTTTTCCAGCAGACCCAGGTTGAATCCCACCTCTTACTATTATCTTTTCTTTCATTTTTTAATTTTTTTCTAAAATCCTACCGGTTTATTAGGGTTCTAACCCGAAGGGGTAGAAAAGTCTAAAGTCCTACCGGTTTATTAGGGTTCTAACCCCGAAGGGGTAGAACCCTTCTAAAATCCTACCGGTTTATTATTACGGTTCTAACCCCGAAGGGGTAGAACCCTTCTAAAATCCTACCGGTCTATTATTATTATTATTATTAGGGTTCTAACCCCGAAGGGGTAGAACCCTTCTAAAATCCTACCGGTTTATTATTATTACGGTTCTAACCCGAAGGGGTAGAACCCTTCTAAAATCCTACCAGTCGGGGGATTTTCATCCCCCTCGGGGGATGAAAATACAAATTTCTATTATAAATGAGCCAGATCGGATAAAAAACATGGCCGCCACGGACCAATGAATCTCCGCGATGGGCGGAGCTTAGAAATGATTGGCCATAACTCCCACACCCATTGCCCTATCGTCACCAATCTTGGTGGGTAGGGTCACAAGGTGACTGGGAAGCTGCCTACCAAAGCGTTTCGAGCTCAGCCCATAGGGGGCGCTATAAATGCCACACATGCATATCTCAAAGACCGTCGGACAGAATTTCACCACGTTTGGTGTGCTATTGACTTGAAATTTTACACACATGTCCTCCTGATGGTCCTCTACAAAAAAGCCTCTTGCACCATTAGGGTGGTTATTAGGGATTTTTTTAATAACTTGCATAATGTGAAAAACAGTAAAATGAATAGAACTTTTGAAACATTGAGGTGGTGACAACCTATAAATATCTAGGTGTTCATCTTGATAACAAGTTGGACTGGTCTGTTAACACAGATGCACTCTACAAAAAAGGGCAGAGCTGCCTCTTTTTCCTTAGAAAGCTTAGATCTCTAAACATCTGTAATAAGATGCTGCAGATGTTCTATCAGTCTGTGGTGGTAAGTGTTTTATTTTATGCTGCAGTCTGCTGGGGAGGAAGTTTAGGAAAAAAGCAGGCAAAGAGGCTGGATAAGCTTGTCAAGAAGGCTGGCTCTGTGATGGGAGTAAAGATGGACTCTCTGGCGGAGGTGGTGGAGAGATACACAATGAGGATGGTGGAGGCCATACTGAACAACACGGATCATCCACTTCATAACACCTTGATGGATCAAAGAAGCAGCGGTGGTGGACGGCTCCTATCTCTTGGGTGCAGGACAGAAAGATACCGTAGATCTTTCATACCCACAGCCATTAGACTGTTTAATTCTAATGCAAATGGAAGATGAGCTAAAAGACAAATCAGTTTCCCTTGGGATCAATAAAGTCATTTCTATTCTATTCTATTTGTAGTGGATGTGATAATAGCCACATATATAGTTTTTTTTATTAACAGACACCCCCACTTTTTCATTTTAATATTCGAACCTTTTATTTTTTACATTTTGTAATAACCGTTTGCACCAGTAGAGGGTGCTCCACCACCAGTGGATCCAAGCGTTCTCTGCTCTGCTTGCTCTGTGCGGGCGCAGACAATAAAGGCGCTTAGCGGAAGCGACAGTAGCTAACGAGGAACCGTGTCCTATGTTTGGATCCACAGGTTGGTAAAGTGTATGGTTGATACAGTTTTGTTAAGTTGAAATGAGTAACAGCATGTGTTAAAGCACTGAAGTTAAGATGAATGCTTTAAGTTGTGAAACACTTACTATATTGTCGTGGTTCGTGATCGGACGTTCACGTCCCCATGCAAGCGGTTGAACAAGAATGTGTGTGTGTGTGTGACGAGCTAAATTCCAACTGTAAACGTTACTCGCTTCGTGTTATTTTTTTGTAATATTATCTTGAGAGTACTGGTAGTTGGTACGGTATGTTGTAATGTTGATTATATGGAATGTGAACTTTGAAGAGCGAGTGCAGACAATAACGGCGCTTAGCGGAAGCAACAGTAGCTAACGAGGGACCGTGTCCTATGTTGATTGATTGATTGGTTGCTCAGTCACACCGTAGCTCAGCCGCTCAGTGCCCGCCGCCTGAGTGGTTTATGCTGCCGGCCAGGGACCCCTAGCTCTGGCGCCGGTAACATTTTCTAACATAACATATTCTAGCCAATATGGGGTGTCACAAATGTGTGACCGAAAACCTGGTTTGGAGATATCTGGGCCTGGTAATGGGTGTGTATCGCGTGGAGCCTTTAGGAACGGAGCGGGCGCTGTCGTCGACCGTGGCCGGCGAGGGTCGGGGTGGCCGGTTTGGGCCTCAACAGGTTAGAACCGGGGATTGCCGCTTGCGGCTATATTATTATTATTATTATTTGTCGTCTGCCGGTTGAGCTCAAATTCCCGTGAGCTGGAATAAGCCAGAAAGCTGAAATTTGGCCCAATGATTGGAAATGATGTGCATCAACTTCTATTAAAATATGAGCCCAGTTGGCCAGATGGTGGCGCTGTAATTAAGGCTTAAAAATGACTTTTTTGAAAGGCCACGCCCCTCACACCGAAAGTCCGATTGACTTGAAATTTGACACACAGGTCCAGCTCAATGTGCTCTACAAAAAAGCCTCTGGGACCATTAAAGTCCGCCATGATAGATTTTTTGCTAATTTGCATAATGTGAAAAACAGTAAAATGAATAGAACTTGTGAAAGATTGACTCTATCAACACCAAATTTGGTATACAGCCTCGGGGGATGAAAATACAAATTTCTATTATAAATGAGCTAGATCGGATCAAAAATATGGCCGCCACGGACCAATGAATCTCCACGATGGGCGGAGCTTAGAAATGATTGGCCATAACTCCCACACCCCTTGCCCTATCATCACCAATCTTGGTGGGTAGGTTCACAACGGGACTGGGAAGCTGCCTACCAAAGCGTTTTGAGCTCAGCCTATAGGGGGCGCTATAAACGCCACACATGCATATCTCAAAGACCATTTAACAGAATTTCACCAAATTTGGTATGCATACTCTAGGGGGGACTGTTAACTTATATCTTGAGTGCCATGTTGATTGGTGAAAGTGGGCGTGGCCTGTTGGTCGTTAACTGCTGTTGTTTATGTTTTTTGAATTCATGATGAGCTGGAAGGACCTAGGGACATGAAAATCGGTACATGGATTATAAATGACATGCAAATGCTTGTCAAAAAATTTGACCCCATTCGGCCTAACGGGGGCGCTGTTACATGGCGTGTGAACTTCAAATGGCTCTCCCCGCCCAGATATGAGTGCTATTGACTTGAAATTTTACACACATGTCCTCCTGATGGTCCTCTACAAAAAATCCTCTTGCACCATCAGGGTGATTATGACGGATTTTTCAATAATTTGCATAATGTGAAAAACAGTAAAATGAATAGAACTTTTGAAAGATTGACTCTATCAACACCAAATTTGGTATACGGCCTCGGGGGATGAAAATACAAATTTCTATTATAAATGAGCCAGATCGGATAAAAAACATGGCCGCCACGGACCAATGAATCTCCGCGATGGGCGGAGCTTAGAAATGATTGGCCATAACTCCCACACCCATTGCCCTATCATCACCAATCTTGGCGGGTAGGGTCACAAGGTGACTGGGAAGCTGCATACCAAAGCGTTTCGAGCTCAGCCCATAGGGGGCGCTATAAATGCCACACATGCATATCTCAAAGACCGTCGGACAGAATTTCACCATGTTTGGTGTGCTATTGACTTGAAATTTTACACACAGGTCCTCCTGATGGTCCTCTACAAAAAAGCCTCTTGCACCATTAGGGTGGTTATTAGGGATTTTTTAATAACTTGCATAATGTGAAAAACAGTAAAATGAATAGAACTTTTGAAACATTGAGGTGGTGACAACCTATAAATATCTAGGTGTTCATCTTGATAACAAGTTGGACTGGTCTGTTAACACAGATGCACTCTACAAAAAAGGGCAGAGCTGCCTCTTTTTCCTTAGAAAGCTTAGATCTCTAAACATCTGTAATAAGATGCTGCAGATGTTCTATCAGTCTGTGGTGGCAAGTGTTTTATTTTATGCTGCAGTCTGCTGGGGAGGAAATTTAGGAAAAAAGCAGGCAAAGAGGCTGGATAAGCTTGTCAAGAAGGCTGGCTCTGTGATTGGAGTAAAGATGGACTCTCTGGAGGAGGTGGTGGAGAGATACACAATGAGGATGGTGGAGGCCATACTGAACAACATGGATCATCCACTTCATAACACCTTGATGGATCAAAGAAGCAGCGGTGGTGGACGGCTCCTATCTCTTGGGTGCAGGACAGAAAGATACCGTAGATCTGTCATACCCACAGCCATCAGACTGTTTAATTCTAATGCAAATGGAAGATGAGCTAAAAGACAAATCAATTTCCCTTTGGGATCAATAAAGTCATTTCTATTCTATTCTATTCTATTCTATCTGTAGTGGATGTGATAATAGCCACATATATAGTTTTTTTTTTTATTAACGGACACCCCCCTTTTTCATTTTAATATTCGAACCTTTTAGTTTTTACGTTTTGTAATAACCGTTTGCACCAGCAGAGGGTGCTCCAAGACCAGTGGATCCAAGCGTTCTCTGCTCTGCTTGCTCTGCGCGGGCGCAGACAATAGAGGCGCTTAGCGGAAGCGACAGTAGCTAACGAGGAACCGTGTCCTATGTTTGGATCCACAGGTTGGTAAAGTGTATGGTTGATACAGTTTTGTTAAGTTGAAATGAGTAACAGCATGTGTTAAAGCACTGAAGTTAAGAAGAATGCTTTAAGTTGTGA